TATTTATTTATATATACATATATACATATATACATACATATATATATAAGAAGACAATCTAATACAACAGATAAACCTACTCAATAGAAGTATAATTTAATATGCTGCAATAATCGCGCCCCGGGCTCTATGCTGCGTGTCTCCTGTTTCCCAAACAGACAGTAGGCTGCTGGTGCTCGCGTGGCGACTCGGGAAGTTTTGGTCGCAGGCTAAGATTATATTATATTATACTATATTATATTATATTTCATTTTATTGTACTGTATTTCATTGTATTAGACTAAATTATGTAGTAGAGCAGCGATCGTTGACTCCCTTCGGTTCTGCACCCTCAATTCCCACTTCCGCACCCTCACTTCCAACAGAACTAAAGCTTGTCCACGCCCTACGTACAAGCAACCGTGCAGACTGCCTCAAAAACAAATACCGGGATGAACCATGCTTGTTGCAAGCAACGAAGGCTTTCCGTCGTCAACCACTCCTGCCTGCGTCTTCACGATGTTTCCATCGCAGTCCTTCATAAGACAGAGACATTGCAAGACAAGGGTTGCACAAGCCAGTCAACAACGCAAGAGTCGCCGATGTAAGCCGTTGACGGGCGGATTTGGCATCCGGTGGTACCCGTGCCATGTTCTGGAGACCCATAACACCAGGTTCTCAGCAACCCTGAGTTCAAACCGGAAGACAGCAAGAAAGATACACGGCAAGCGCCTTGAACGCAATACACCGCACCAAGTACTGGTAGAAGACGCCTGAGGCAGGAGGGTTCAAAATGGATTCAGCAGAGTGTCATCACCTGACTTCTTGTTTCTGCTGCCTCGACATCGAGGCTGTTGGTCTACTTAAACACTACTTAGACGGTGTCCTCAGGCACTGCAGGGCAATGGTTTTGTAGCATAGCAGATCCACGACTCGGAGGGATCATTCCACTATCTGGGGCAGAAAGCAGTGGGTTTAGGTTTAGGTTGGTTTAGGTGCTTGGTTCCTGAGTAGCCTCTTTTTGATAAGGGTACCCTTTTTCCTACTATTCGGTTTTAGTAAGGGGGCCCAAAAATAAAAAGGGCAAAAGGGTACCACTCAGGGACCTAGGGTGTAAACGCAGGAACTTCGTCCAGGTCTAATTGAGTTTAGTTGAAATGATGCAGGACACTTCCAATCTTCTCCAGCCGTTCGAGACGAGTCGCCACCATAAGGATCGCCGTTCGGGACAGAGACCCTGGGCATTCATCGTTGCCATCATTGATTGCTGTGTTGTGGTCTCAGTAATGCTGTTGAACGGTGCCGGCATCGGTGTTGCTTGTCAGAAACCCTGTTCGTCTCAGGATGCAGGTGCAGGTGAAGATGATGTTGGTGGTTTTCTGGCTAATGGTAGTTGTGACGATCCTGAGGGTAGTGTGATGGTGGCGGCCAGGGTGATGACGACGATGATGATGATGACGACGCAGTTTTAGTGTTGCTATTTAGACGGTGACTACTTGCTACATTATCGCATTGTCTGCGATCATGGTTGACGCAAATGCGTCCATGGTGCTGCACAGTGTTACGGATTGCTGCTAGGGATGCATGTTGTGGCTGCAGCTTCGACCTGATTGCTTCCGAAACTAACGGTTTCGGATGCACTGCATACAGGTGTCGGTGTGTAGAGCTCTTGTCCACGTAGAGCCTACACACTCCGTGAAGCTGTACCAGAGACATCATACTCATTGCCTTGCATATCTTGCTTCCTGCTTTCATCTTGCATGCGGAAGCTGACGAAACACGGTATTGCACTTGGGCGAACTGCGGCTGTGCTAATCTGTATGAGCCTTTGAGAGTTCGACTTGTGGCCAGGGGGCTCTTGTGGTAACGTGTACAGCCTTGACAGAACGCGATTCACTAGCTCCCAAACCGCTCCGAAGCACCCCAGCGTAAGTGCCCGCAGATGATACACGGCAAACTAAGTAGCGGCTTGTGGCGGCCATGCATCATGGCATCGTTCAATAACACCCACAAACCAAAGCGCAGACTGCGGCCTCTGAACACAGACCCGAAATCACGCCCTTCACCCCCAATCTGACCTGAGCAAGTCGAGACCGGGTATGAAGTCGACCGGAGATCCGTCAGGATACAAGAGCTTCCCCTTGTCCTGACTTCTGCTTGGGCAGGTCAGGACTAGTCTCCGTACTCTTACAGCTCTGCTTGCAACAGCTGATGTCAACCGTGGTGGTGGTGGTGGTGGTGG